ACCTTTGTAAAATACTATTTACTCCTAGGGAGTAAAAGTTAAATATCTGAAATGATAAACACATAATCACTATGCTGGCTAGTTCTTAATTGTCAACTTAATACAATCTAGAATCACCTGAGAAGAGTTCACAGTGAGGATCTGTCTGGATCGGGTGGTCTGTAAGAACGTGGTTAATTAGAGTGGAAAGACCCAACCACTGTGAGCGGCACCATTCCCTAGGCAGGGGATTCTGGGTCCTATGAGCAGCGGAAGCAAGCTGAACATACCATTTATACAGTCATTGCTCTCTGTTCCTGATTATGGATGTGATGTGACCAGCTCCCATAAGATCCTGCTGCTGTGACTTCCCAGCTATAATGGACTCTAACCTGAAACAGGGAGCTGAAATAAACACTCCTTAAAGTTGCCTATTTGGACTTTTCTGGACTCTGTGGGCACCAGGCATGCACAAAGTGCACATCCATACATATAGGAAAACACTACTACACATAAGATTTTTTTATTTTACACAAAATAGAAAGATTTAAAATAGCTAATCAGCTTTAAAATGTGTATATTTCCACATTACGTGTGCACAGGTGTAGCAGGAGTATACCCTATGTTTTCTGTCTAGCCTATATAGTAACCCTTGTCAAGGAAGTTGACCACTTATCCTCTGTATCTACCTCTGTAAACAGAGATAAATATGGGCATCACTTTTCTCCTTTCTTCTTTTTAATTTATTGAGACAGGGTCCAGGCCAGTCTGAAACATACTTTGTAGCTCATGCTGGCCTCAAATTCGTGGGGATTATCCTACCTCGGACTCTCAAGTGCTGGGATTACAGGCGTGACTACCACACCCAGCTTCATGCAACACTTAATTGGGCCCATGCAATGTTAAGAGGGTACGTCACTGGACTCTTGCTTAGCACCAGGAATGAGGCAAGCACATACCTTATCTTCTTTTGATATTCACAAGGAGGGTGAATGAATGGAGAAGGACCCTGAGACAAAGAGGTTGATTCACTAAGAGGTGGGGCCAAGGCCATGGAGAAAGCAGATCAACAGCGAAACCTGGACTCTAATTCTGACATTCTGTTCCTTTCTGAGGCTAATGGTCTCTCACTGAACCATGTTCTAGACAGTCCTACGATTCAAAGATTGTGTTTCTGCATCTTATTTATTTTGACGATTTTCCCAGAATGTCCAAAGAATTTCTCTACATGTTTGGAAATTCTGCCAGCCATTCATGCCGTCAGTTTTCCCGGCTCTCCGTGACAGCGTATTTTCTAGACAGTAAAGCACTTTCTATAAATACAAGGGGAATGATGAGCAGGCGAACACAGTTGTCCACAGTCCCTCTCGTGTCACCTGCAGAGCTGACTTACCTACCCCATCACATGTCCCACGGAAACCTACCCACTACTGAGGCTGGAAGACAGAAGTCAGGAGCATCTCTCTCCTGCTCAGAGTCCCACTAGACTCCTTCAATAAAACTGGGGGCCAGGGGAGGAGCAAATACCTGTCATCATAGGAAGAAATCCTCTTGCCGTCCATGACTCGTGAGGGTGTCAGGGAAAGCAGACTCAGGGAGTACAGCTTCTGCAGGAAGTGACTCTCTACAGAACAAGATACAACAGGGTTCTCCTCAAGGTAGGCATGGCCTGACCCAGGACACAGAGGGCCAAACCCAACTTACCTCTGACCTTGGAATCCTTGCTGAAGCGCCACTGAGGCACAAAGACGGTTATGTCACGATGCCCACGGTCCCAAAAGTACTGCACCGCAAGAGCAATGCCGCGGCTTGAGAAGTAGTGCTGCAAGCCGTGTCTGCAATGGAGGGGGTCAATGCTCAGGACCCGGAGAAGGCTGCACCACCAGCCCCTCCTCAGAACCCCACCGGCTACTTACACCATGGCCACGTTGCTGCCATCAATGACGATATGACGGAGGTCTGGCTGGCCGGGCACATTAGCAAGGCACAGGGTGAAAGGGTCCTGTAAGGCTTCCTGGAAACGCTGTGTGCCAGTCACCAAGTTGCCCCCTCGAGCACCTCGTTTAGACCCTCGACCTCGAGCCCCAGCCTGTTGCTTGTCTCCCCTGTCTCCCCGATCTCGGTCTCCACAGGGCCACGGAGGCTCCGGCGCAGGTGGAGGGCTCGGTACTCTGGGAGGTGACGTGCTCCCATTATGGAGCCGCTGGAGGAGAGAGGCTCCCCGAGTTTGAGCTGCCCTCTGAGGGGGCACATGGGCACCAAAAGGGTCACCCTGCGTACTGAACCCTCCTCTTTGCTGAGGAACCTCCTCCTTCCCCAAGGCCTTTCCCTTCAATGATGCCTCTGCTCCTTCACCTGCTGGTTGTGACTTGAAAGCCACTCCTCTCTCCCAGACTTCTTCCCCAGAGGGCTCCTTCCTCCCTGAATGTGTGTCCCTGACACCATCCTGTTTACTTTCCTGCTTCTCCATAGTAGGTCTTTCTCCTCTTGCTGCCCTTGAATCTCCTGACCCCACCACTCCAGTACCCCGGGACTCCCCACCTTGACTCAAGGGAGCCCCAACTCCCTGGAACTGAGCACTCAACAGGCCTCGACTCCCCTGCTGCTCATGAGAGGGCAACACCTGTGGACCCTGCTCTCTGGATGCCTCCTGTACCAGGCTTAGGAGCTCCTCCTGGACAGCCAGGGGCAGCTGCAGCAGGGCCTCTGTGTAGGCATCCTCCCTAGCCTGCAGCAGAGCAGAGAAGTCTCTCAGCACTCCAGCACTGGCAGGGGCTCCGGGACAAGACGGCAGCTGAAGATCCCAGCTCAGCCTCTGCACTAACTCCTCCACCCGACTCTGAGCCATCACAAATGCCTCCGTTAGGCCACTGATCATCAGAGAGCCAGGAACTAGGGGCACCAGGTGGGCAGATGTGCTCCAAGCCAGGCAGTCAAGGAAGAAGCCGTGGGCTCCCTGAAAGACGCAGTGCAGTCTGGGTGGGTAGCGGATTTCACTCTGCAGTTCAGGGCTGCAGAGCCCCTTCAGGTATTCCTAGATGGGAAGGTCAGAGAGGAACCTTCTAGAAGTCATCTCCTTCAGGTTCATTGTTCTCCCTGAGCTCCAAGAGCATGCATCATCCAAAAAGATACTGTTATTATCCCCATTGTAGACATAAGGAAATTTAAGACTAGATCAGCAGGCTGTCGAGTGGTGAAGCTGTATCAGAACTCCTCCTTGAGGCCAAAGAAAGAAATGTGGCCACCCCCTGCCACACCCACTCACTCCCAGTGAATTCCTTGGCAAGGGCCACCTGTATGGTGGGATTACTCTACTATCCCCAAGAGCACAAAGTAATTTGTTTCCAAAAGCCTGCAGTACCTGGGCCATCAGGGCAGAAGTGAAACCAAAATTCTAAATAAAAAATAACTGCTGAGTTCCTCAAAGCTCAGGACAGAAGCAGTAAATAAGATAGCAAAGGCAGAAATCCTCCCCAGCCACTCCTCCTAAACTGCCTAGGGGAGGGGCGGGGTTCTAAAAGGACCTGGGAGAGGAGTTCACCTTGGCTCTGCAGACATTCTCCTTGGGGCCCTCAAGCTGCAGCCAGATATGAGGGTTCTCTGGGCAGTCTTTGGAGAGGATGCTCATTCCCACGCTGAAGATACGCTCCAAGCGAGCCTGCTGCTCCCGAACCTTGTCCTCTGCCACCGCAGACACCGCAAAGCGGTCAGGAGTCGGGGAAGCAAACCCCCAAGTAGACATGGCTTCTTCCTGGGGTCCTGGAAAGGCAGAGGCAAGCTCAAAGTCTCTGTCTCTCTTCAGCCCAAATCTCAACCACATGGCCTACAATCAACAAGTCGCACCTAGTCACAGCACCGGTAAACAACCTCAAGAGGTAGAACGGCCACCTCGGGTGTGGAGAGGATAGAAAATTATCTATCCACAGGCCTCTCCCGGAGAGGAAGTCCTTCGTAAGCAAGGCTATGGTGGGGGAGTAGAGTATGGACGACTGGCCTCTGGACACCGATGACCACCGCCCTAAGAGGGGGAGTTCCGTGAGGGAGCCTCCAGCTCATTCTGAGAGTCATAAGAAGTGGGTGGGTGAGGAAAGATTCCCAAAGCTCAGAGGTCTCTGCAAGTTTTGAATAGAAGAGGGCCTCTTCACAGACGACTACTTGCCGAAGGCAGTAACAGTGTAGTCCTGGGAGAGGGGTGCCCTTGCCCAACGTTCTTTCTCTAGCCACTCCTACTTCTCCTCCCCTCTCCTCGGAGACGTCCACCGCCAAGCGTCCCACCCAGGACCCGGGGCCTGGCCCGCCCTCCCACAGACTGCCGTGGTGGCCGCCCCCCAGCCCGATCACCCTCCGGCCGCGGCCTCCAGCTCCGGATCGCCGGGAAAGGGCGCGCCTACCGCCAAAGCCGCGAGTCCCGCTGTTTCTCTAGGGGCCCGGGATCCCCGCGCTTCTCCCGCACCCCAGGGGACTGGGGCTGGGGACCCGAATCTGGGAGGGCCTCCTCGGCTTCCCACCCAACCTACACTCCTGTCGTCAACAACGCGTTCTGGTTTTGGAGTCACTTCCCGGCCTGGGGCGGAGTCAGACCGGCTCCTCCCCCGCCAGAGCTGCGCTGCTGTCTCCTCCCGCGCCCGCCCTCCCGGGCTCCGCCTGCTGCCCTGCGGCCCACCGACCCGCCCTCCACGTCCCGTGCGGGGCTTAGCGGGTAGCCAACACTTCTGTCCCCACCCCCAACCCAGCCCCACCCCAATGCCTCCCGCCGACTCTCACGTTTAGCTCCCGTTCTTGGGGGTTCTTGCGTGTTCCATTCAGTTGAAGGTTCCAAGAGGGAAGTGACTTGCCCAGAGTGACAAGAGAATACTGCCCTTGGCCCAAGCACTTTCACCAAGTAGATTGTGGGGAAAGATGAGGACACACCTTCCAACAAAAAAGAAAAAAAAAAAGATTCTACGGAGAAAGACAGATTGGGAAGAGTTTTGAAAAGGAGAGGATGAGGAAGGAGCTAAAGAAACTTCGTCGTGTGTGTGTGTGTGTGTGTGTGTGTGGTTATTCTCCATCACCCACTCTCCGGCCTCCCTGCTACAGAATCAAGCTTGAGCCCTGTGTCCTGCCTCCATGCCTCTTCTCCCTCCCAGAGCCCAACTGCTGTCACTCCATGCTTTGCCAAGAAGGAGGGAACTGCAGTGACAGCAGGAGTAAGGAGAGGCCAGGCAGAGCTCTATAGGGAAGGGGGTGCCCAAACTAGGTGACAGACCCATAGGGAGGACAGAGGAGCAGGGCAAGAGGCTCTGAAAGCTTGAAGCAGGGAAGGGAGAGCAAAAGGGAGCCAGAAGACAGGGAAACCTGTGAATACAGAGGTACCCGGCAACGATGGGAACTCAACGGCACAACCACAAGCTGCCCTTGGCCCTGGTGCTTCTGACCCTAGGGGCTGGGTGGGCTCAAGAAGGGTCAGAGCCTGTCCTGCTGGAGGGGGAGTGCCTGGTGGTCTGTGAGCCAGGTCGACCTGCTGCAGGGGGACCTGGGGGAGCAGCCCTGGGCGAGGCACCTCCAGGAAGAGTGGCGTTTGCTGCAGTTCGAAGCCATCACCATGAACCAGCAGGGGAAACCGGCAACGGCACCACTGGTGCCATCTACTTTGACCAGGTAATTAATACCCTTGCCCCATGCAGAGGACCTGCGAGGACCTGGACTCTACTGTCCAAGCCCCACTTTGCATCCCTCAGACTTCAAGAAAACCATTTCCTGCGTCTCTTGGCACACCTTCACCAAAGATGGCCACCGACTATTTGCCTTCCTTCACTCATACACACAACCCCTCTTCGCCATTTCTCATAATCTCCGAATCCACAGATTCCTGTCACACTTGCTTGCCACCCCTCTTGTCCTTACCCATTGCCCAAACACCAACCTCAGTGATGCACCTGAGCCCCAGGCACCCTGGATACCACCCAACAGAATCTGCTTCCTGTAGGTGCTGGTGAATGAGGGTGGTGGCTTTGATCGGACCTCAGGCTGCTTCGTGGCCCCTGTCCGTGGAGTCTACAGCTTCCGATTCCACGTGGTAAAGGTGTACAACCGCCAAACTGTCCAGGTGACCAGAGTATCAGCCCCATCTCCCAGGGAAGGGAGGGTCATGAGCAGACCACAGCACCTGGGGACTGTGAGCAAGGGAGGAAAGGTCCTGACTAGCAGGGTATGGCAGGTGTGCAGAGCCCAACACAGGCCACCCCTCAACCCTCACAAGAGAGCCCATTAAGCCTCGGGTTCCCAAAAGGAAGTCTTTGGAAAGATGAGGGTCCTGAGCTAAGGGCTAGGAGATAGAAGCTAACTGAGCTCCCCTCCCCAGGTGAGCCTGATGCTGAATACATGGCCGGTCATCTCAGCCTTTGCCAATGACCCTGATGTGACCCGAGAGGCAGCCACAAGCTCTGTGCTGCTTCCCCTGGACCCTGGGGACCGTGTGTCCCTGCGCCTTCGCCGGGGGAATCTTCTGGGTGGCTGGAAATACTCAAGCTTCTCTGGCTTCCTCATCTTCCCACTCTGAGAACCCAAGCCTTTAAAAGACAGATATCTAGTATCTGGTCTTCTGCCTTCCCCTGCCCTGCCCTGCCTTGCCCCAGAAACAAGCGTCTTTGGAGCAAAAGAAAGGCCCCCTCAGGCTGCCTATAGCCCACCTCCTTGCATGAGATCCTATGCCAAACACCCAAGGCTAAGAGTGTAGAAGAACAGAGCTATGGAGTTTCTAGAGGCAACATTCCTCACCCCCACCACTCCAGTTGCCCTCCCAGACTCTGCTGCCCCTTGCCTGCCTCCACTTCTGACTTAAAGCAGGATTGGCAAGAGGGGAGCCTGTACTACTTCACAGACTCCACTCCTCCTGTTCTCCACCCTGGCTTCCTGCTCAGTGTTATTTGGTGACAGGTGGCACAGGTAAGCCTGACAGGCTCCCACAGGGACCCAGATGGACGAGCCTCATAGTACCTGCAGACTCCATCCTGTTAGGAGTGCCAGCATGAGAGATCTCAGCCAGCACCGTACTAACAGGGACTGACAGCCCAACCATAAAAAGAAGTGTGGGGAGGGCCACAAGAGCATCCATAGCTGAAGAGATAGAATGAGGGCATGTACCTACCCTGAACATGGTAAACATTCTGCAAATAAACTGGGACAGTCAGCAGGCAGGAATCCTGCCATCCATCAGTGCCAGGTCCCAATGGACTCTGACCCTCATTTCCTGACCATGTGTACGTGCGTGTGTGCGTGCATGCGTGTGTTTGCTCTGACCAACAGGCGAAACCAGAGCAGGTATACAGAGCTGGAGGCATGGTCAAAGGTCACATACGAGCCATGGAACAGCACATCAGTGACCATGTGTCCTCCTTGGTCACTTCCTAAAACTGCCCCACCTTTGAAATCTGAGTTTCGGTCACTCCCCACTCTTGCTGACTTCCTCCAGCTGTCTCTCATCTACCTTCTCTACACCTACAGCCTGTCCCTACCGGTAATCACTCTTCCTTTGATCCATACGGTCTCATTCTCCTTCTTAAGTTTCCTGTTACTGAGGAAGCCATGAATCGCCCCTCCAACTGCTCTTCCTCCAGCGTCAGAAATCCTCTTTCATCTGTTGTATCCATTGTCCCAGTGGTCCAGCATGAATGGATTGGTCTGGAGAACTGTGGTCGGCGAGACCTGGACTTCTCACTTTGGTGAGGATGCAGTTTGAAACAGGCATTACAGGATTGGGGCACATATGACTTGTTGAAGAGAAAATAAATTCAAACCGAGCATACCAGTCAATTTTTTAAAAGGCTATAATAGTCCTCAAGTTAAATAAATACCAGGACCAAGGAGAGAGAGAGAGAGAGAGAGAGAGAGAGAGAGAGAGA